GTTTCAGCTTTTGTCTTCTCCAGATGTTAACTGATGGACTGGTGTGGTGCGGATTATTGTGATATTTTATCAGCTGTTTGGACTCTCATTCTGACGGCACCCATTCACTGCAGAGCAAGTGATGCAATGCTACATTTCTCCAAATCTGACGAAGAAACAAACTCATCCTAATCTTGGATGGCCTGAGAGTGAGCATTTATTACATTTTCAGCAAATCTTTATTTTTGGGTGAACTATTCCTTTAAGAACGGTTCACTGACAGATTCTTTGGGGAACCCAATATTGTTCTTCAATTGCATTGCTACAAAAACCCCATTTTGGAACCTTTATTTTTAAAAGTGCAAAGACTGACAGAATGGATTAAAAAAAAAAAAAACACAGCCTTGCTTCCAAATATCTTGCCATAGCCGGACAATATTACCTGTTTCTCTTATTGAGACGAGAGAATCGTTGTGCAGCTGATGACTGAATCAATTATTTATTAACTTTAAGAGTGTACAAATGTGAGGCGCTCTAGTGCTCTGATTTGTCTTTCTAGTGGAGGATCCGGTCTCAGATTAAAACGTGGTCAAGCATAGAGGTCAGTATTTCCCAGTGGCTCTCCTCTGACTCAACTCTCATAAATATTCACTCGTGCAACTACGCTAAGAGCTCCGTCTGTAAATGACCCACTAACAACCTGCTTCAGAATATATTATCGATGGCGGCATAAGTGTTCAAAACAGCCTACATGGATTATTCTAGTTGCATCTGTTTGTGTGGTACATCACAATTATCTGAATATATACGATATAAGAAGTCATCGTGAAAGTGATGACAGCAGTCTATTTATGTCAACTTCAGATGCATCCAGATTTTCTATTTGCAGTAAGTTATTGGCAGTGGCTGAACTCTATAATCAATCACAGACAGCAATTTTGAGAGCATGAATGCAATGGCGATCACTTAAGAGTCAACAGGCCTATTTGTGTTTATTTAAATGAGTGTTTTAATGTTTTACTTTCATTTGTGATCATGAAAATAAATGCTGAGACAATTGAACAATTACTGTTCTGATTCTAATTCCATTAATGATTCTTTCAGTACTTTTGGGGAAGTAATATTTGGAAATTTTAGCCATGCAATAGAGTGCTGCAGGAATGAGTCCTAAAACTCAGAAAATTAGTTGCATTTTTGCACTTCTGGTTGCACTGTGCCGAAGTCAATGGGTTTTTTGGTTAAAATGTCTGAAATAAGGTCTCTGTTTAACACAAGCTCAAGATATTTTAACTTTTTATTCTCAGACATAAAATGCATCAGATCTCGTGATTTTTAAGCTTTTATGTGTCTTTAAAAAGGCAACTAACAAGGCTTTAAAATTCTTAAGTTTCATTTGTGAAGACGAACAAAACATCATAAGAATCACACTCTTTTGCTGGTCACAGCTTATTTTCTGCAGCAATCCAAAAGCCAATGGAAAAATCCTATTGGCTTTTTGTTTTTGTTACAAAAATATGTCATCCCTGCAGCACTTTATTCTTACTAAAGTCATGTGTAGCTTCTCACACACTTTGGATGTATAGCCTCACAAAAAATGTTTTTATGTCAGTAATGTCAACAATTATAATCTGTCGTAATTGTGTCAGAATAATTCACTTTTTTTCTGATCTACTGCCCAAATAATAGCACTTACACTACCGTTCAAAAGTTTGGGATCAGTAAGGCTTGTAATGTTTTTAAAGAAGTCTCTTCTGCTCATCAAGACTGCATTTATTTGATCAAAAATACAGAAAAAACAGTAATCTTGCAAAATGTTATTACAATATAAAATAATGGTTTCTATTTTAATATCCTTTAAAATATAATTTATTTCTGTGATGCAAAGCTGAATTTCCATCAGCCATTACTCCAGTATAAAGTGTCACATGATCTTCAGAAATCATTCTAATATGCTGATTTATTATTAGAATTATCAACATTGGCAACAGTTACGCTGCCAAATATTTTTTTTGGAAACTGC